AACAAAATAAAAATTTGTCTAACATACTCACTTTAGCATGTCTAAACAATTAAAGAAAATCATTAAGGAAATGAGATTATAAGAAAATGACAACAAATTTCTTAAAAATGAGGTCGAAATTTTGACAAAATATCTATCAACCTTTGTAAATGGGAAAAGAAATCTTGATAGACTAATTGGTGATCAAAGACACATCTAAGTTATAACAGGTTTGGATTTTAGAAAAGATCGGAAAAAGATTGTATACAACCAACCTAAAATTAGAAGAGCCAAAAAGAGATGTTCCAATTGTAACAAGTGAGGACATTACGTCTCAAAATGCTACTAGAAAAAGAACATGGTTAAAAGATATTATTAGAAAATGAAAAAAAAATTCTTAAAAATGAAGTTGAAATTTTGACTAAAGATTTATCAAATTTTGTATATGGAAAAATAAATTTTGGTAAACTAATTGGTGACCAAAGACACATCTAGGATATTTTATAGAAGATCAGAAAAAGATTGTATACAACCAACTTGAAATTGTAAGTGTGACACCCTTCTAAGGGCCAAAACAAGATGTTCCAATTGTAACAAGTGGGGACATTACATCTCAAAATGTTACTAGAGGAAGGTTACTAACATGAGAGAACTCGACAAAGTATAGGTACTTAAGTCTCTTCTACTTTTTGATGCATGAATGTTTTATGCACAAAAGCAAGAAAAAGAAATGGTACTTGGACAATGGATGCACAAGACATATGACAGGAGATAAAACCAGGTTCCTAACCCTTGAAAAAAAGGAAAATGGAGGATTTGCCACATTTGGAGACAATAGAAAAGCAACAATCAAAGGTAATGAAAAAATAGGTAACATGTGTTCAACCCAAATAGATAATGTGTATTATTTGAAATGACTAAAACATAACCTTTTTGATCATCAACCAATTATATGATAGTGGATATGAAGTTATGTTTGAACCTAATGCATGTCAGATTAAGGATAAATCAACTAGAATGTTTTATTTTCTAGGAAATAGGGTAAAAAAAACTTATATAGTATGCATTTAGAAGATATATTTGATCATTCATGTCTTGCTATGATTAAAAATTATAAATGGTTATGGTATAGAAGAGTAATACATAAATATGAAAAATCTATCAAAATTATCTAATCTAGATTCAATCAAGGGGCTACCTGATGGAAGAGCATGGGCCAAAGGCCCAACCACTAGAGCTATGGCCAGGAGATTACTTGAAGACTTGTCTGCTTCAGAGCTTAGTGGGCCCAATGGGCTTGGTGGGCCTAGGGTGCTTCTCACATGGACTTTACTTGATTAAACACCATGTTTACTTGTATTTTCTTAGTATAGGAAGTTATTTGATTTTGGTCTTGTATTTTGACCATAGATTAGGGTTTAGATATTTGGGCTTATTTTTGGGCTTCTTAGGCTTTGGGCTTTTGATACCCAATATTAGGCTCATTCTTCTTCTTGTATTTTTTCCTATTCATTGTATTTTCTTGACCATTGTATTTAGGTCATTTGATTAGGTTTTAAGGAGGATTATTAGTTTAATAGGATTAGGGTAAATTAGGTTAAATTTATGATGTATTTAAGTTGCATTTAGGTCACACATTTGGCACCACCTTGGCTGCACAAGTGTGACACCGAAATGCAACCCTAAATACATACTAAATTCAACCTAAATGCATTAGCATTAGTGTGACCGGTTTAGGACATGTGAGACAAGTTTTGAAATTCAAAATTTTTGAATTTTGAATTTCAAAACTTGGCGCCACATGTGCTTCCTCACATTGGCGCCAATGCTTTCATCCGGATTCCTATATTAGTTCCCTCCTAACCCATTTTTGTACTACTTTTGAACATATATGAAATTTGTGAGCCTTGAGCCGAGTTTCCTCTCAAAAGTCTCCAAGAATTCCCACCTCAAAAACCCTAGGAGAGTTCCTTCTTTCCTTCTCTTTGAAGTGAGAATCCATTGATCCTTTAGCTTGGATGCTTCCTTCCTAGTCTTAGGTTGAGTTCATCCGTGAGTTCTATAGCTTTCAAGTGTTCTTAAATTGTGGAATCAAGTCTCCTTTGAAGAAGATCTGGCCTAAGCAAATCCGTGGAGAAGAACCTCCTTCACTTCTCCTAGCTTTGCTATCACTACCTAAGATCAAATATGATAAGGATAGAGTATGTAAAGTCTAGGCTAAAGGAAAAGAAACAAAAACCAGTTTTCAACCTAAGAAAAATATAGCTTCTCAAAGAGTACTTGAACTACTTCACAAAGATCTGTTTGGACCTATTATCTTTTGCAAAGATACAAATATTCTTTCACAAGTCATTTATGACTCAACCTAAGTGTTCTTTGACTTGCCTCTTCAAGTAATTACTTAAGTATTTTTTGTATAAAAAACCTCTCCAGCCTTTAACAATTAAGTATTCTTTTAAGGTCAAACCTTTTCAGACTCAAAGTCATAGCACAAAATTAAAGCTGTGAAATCACTATGTTGTTTCATCTTATTATCAAGATATGAAATAACCAATTAAGTACACAACTTTTTATAGAAAGAATAAATATAATTTTTTTGTAGCGATTATTCTCTCTTCGCGAATATCTATATTCTTTTCGAGTTTTCAAGCTTCTTCATATAAGTGCTCTATGAAAATAACTACTGCAAATCCTTGAGTGTCTCTCACAAGTTTGTTTCGCCTGTTTTCCTTGTGGAGAGAAGTGTTCATTAGTGCATTAAATGCAGACATTAAATTTGTTTAACCAAATTGTTACTTCTTATCTAATTAAGGAAGTTATTTATCATCTTTTAGATACCAAATGAGAGGAACTATTCGAGGGATTAATAGTTCTTTTTGCAAAGCATGTTTATGTTCTTTTATGAAGTGTAAGTATCATTTTTTTTTATTTCTTTGAATTTCTTAAGAAATAACACACACAAAAATGATTTAATTATCATACTTCATAAATAATATAAATGAAAATTCTTTCGCTTACAGATGAAGTGAGCAATATGAGAGACTTAATATCATAATAACTAATTGGGCTAAAACCCTATTTTGGTCCCTTATAATAATTGTTTGTTTCAATTTAGTCCCACTTTTATTTTTGGTTTCAATTTGGTCCCAAATAAATTAATTGGTTTCAATTTGGTAAAAAATAAATTAATTGGTTTAAATTTGGTAAATAATAAATTAATTGGTTTCAATTTGGGACTTCTGTCTAAATTATTTAAACGGAGTTAACTGTTGGTCACGTGGATGCCACGTAGATGCATAGGTGGATGCCACGTGGATGCCAATTTTTTTGAAAACACCTGGAACCAGAACGGCCCATTCTGAAACCAGAACGGGCCGTTCTGGATGCACTATTGGTGTGTGAATTTTGCATCTGAAACGGGCCGTTCCAGATGCAAAATTAACCCACCACCAGTACATCAGAACGGGCTATTCTGAAATCAGAATGGCCCGTTCTGGAACCAGAACGGTCCGTTCTGGATTCAGAACGGCCCGTTTCAGAACGTTAGTTAAGTAAAAATAATAGAATTATTAATTTGTTTTCTTTTAATGTCCTCTAAATTTTTATACTCATTTAAAACAAAAATATTTTATATGTTAATTTGAATTAATTTAACGAAGTATCATATGATTTTTAATTTTTTTAAATTTTTTTATAAATTTGATCTATACATGAAAAACTTTTTAATTTAACAATTAAATTTTTAAAAATTTGATATAGAACATTAATTATTAAGTAGAATAAATCTATCAAGACTTACTCTTGAAGTAAGTAAATTTTTTCTTCATTAAAAATGAAGATAATTTTACCACAAAATAAAAAACAATTAAACAATAAAATAAAATATAAAAATATTAATGTATTTATTATATTAAATAAAAACATAATTAAAATATAATTAATAATATATATTTTATAAAATTATTAATATTTTATATATAAAAAAAAAAAGAATGAATTTTTTTTTGTGGGGCAAGTGCCCCCACTATGATTAACTTAGATCCGTCCCTGCATGTAGCTGTGTGGTGAAATGTTAGTCTTGTCTATCCTCTTCCTTTACTTTAGGTTCTACCTCTTCAAGAACAGGTTCTTGTTGTTGGTAGTAAGTGGTTCACTCCAGCTTGACTAACAATGAAATAAAATCTGCTACCATTATCTTTAGTGATACACTGCATTGTCCTTAATGATACACTGTATAGCCAACTGTTTAACAATTGAAGTTATCAACTTTTATTGACAATATCATCAAATCCAGTGTTTGAAATGGTTTGTACCAAATCCACATAGATGCCACGTAGATGCACACGTGGATGCCACTTGGATGACTTTTTTTTTTAAACACCTGGAACCAGAACGGCCCGTTCTGGAACCAGAACGGGCCGTTCTGGTTTCACTCTTAGTGTGTTAATTTTGCACCTGGAACGGGCCGTTCCGGGTGCAAAATTAACACACCTAAAGTTCACCCAGAACGAACCGTTTTGGTTCCAGGTGTTTTAAAAAAAAAGCCATCCAAGTGGCATCCACGTGTGCATCTACGTGACATCCACGTGGCTAATAGTTAACACCGTTAAAGAAATTTTGACGGAAGTCCCACATTGAAACCAATTAATTCATTAGGAACCAAATTGAAACCAATTAATTTATTTGGGACCAAATTGAAACCAAAAATAAAAATGGGACTAAATTGAAACAAACAATTATTATAAGGGACTAAAATAGGGTTTTAGCCTAACTAATTATCTTATCATTATTTATTTTAGAGTATAATTCGAAAATTTTTTTTTTTGAAAAAATCTAAATTTATTATCATTAAAACTTTAAAATATGAGAAATCTAAAATCTTCTTTTTGATCTAACACGTATTCATATTTTGATCTAACAATTTTTTTTTAAATCTTAATCCAATAAATCTGCCAAAAGAAAAAAAAAAAATTTCATGAATGATTTTTGTACTAACCAACCCCTGCCGTCAAACCGTTACCTCACTGTGTGAACAACACGTTGCAACCCGCACTCCATAGCGTCCCCTAACACGTTTTTTGGCCTATGTTCCACTCCTCACTGTCCCTCCTATAAATGCCTCGCTGCATTTTCCGCCCTACTCTCTACTCCCATAATCGCCTCACCTTCGTACACCCGCCCGCACCCAATCTTTTCCCCGCCAACCCTCGGATTCCCACTTCCGTCATGGCCTACCGCCCCAACTTCCAAGGCGGCGGCCGCAGGGGCGCCGCTTCGTCCGCCGGTCGCGGCGGAGGCCGCCGTGGGGGCGGCGGACGCGGTGGAGGAGGAGGCGGCCGCGGTGGACGCGGCGAGCAAAGATGGTGGGACCCTGTCTGGCGCGCCGAGCGTCTCAGACAACAACAAGCCGAGGTTAAAGCAACCAAATAATTTGAATTTTGTCAATGTTCAAAGCTTATTATTATTATTATTGTTAATTTTGATAATGCACACTGCTAGTTCTTTAGTTCCTTTGGTGTGGTGTTAATGTTTTGATTATTGTTAATATTCTGGTTTTTTTCAGAAGGAGGTGTTAGATGAGAATGAGTGGTGGGATAAGATAGAGAAGATGAAAAGTGGAGGGGAGCAAGAAATGGTCATTAAGCGTAACTTTAGTATTGCAGACCAGAAAACCCTAGCTGATATGGCTTACCAGCATGGACTCTACTTGTATGTTTGCTAAATAGTTTTAGTTGCTTCATCATTTAACCAGATAGTTACTCGGGGCTATGCTTTCAATTGTGCATTTGTGATGTTTTATTATGTAATGTGTTCGTCCTATTTGGAGGGAAAGAAACGAGGAGGTATAGTGTGTGTTTGGAAAAACTTTGGATTCAATGTAACCCATGTTTGTTTCCAATCCATGGATATAGTTGCTTTGTTATTTAGAGTATTGGAATGCATGAAAATCCGTTTTGGAGCATCTAAACGTGAAACCAAACATGCTCATAATTGTTGTTCAGAAAATCAATGGTTGGGATTACAATGACATACATGCACATGTAAAACAAATTATAATTTTGTTTGGAAGAACTTCTCCATAAGTGTTTATAAGAAAGAAAATATGAAGGACAAATGAAATAAGCTTTCTCTCTTAACTAAAACAGACTATGTGTCTAATTGGTCGTTGTTTCCTCAGGTGTTTTGTGGGAAAAGGATTTTTTTGCTGGTTGTGAATTGTGATTCCTTGTTTTCCTTGTGAATGAACTCTTCATTATGTGCCAAATTTGTTTGTCCTAATATGATGGGTTATTCTAGTATCACTTGAAATTTAGTATTTAGCTTATTCTTCTAATGTTTTCCTTTTTCTCTGGCTTATGTTTGATTTCACTTTGCAAAGTGTTTGGTTGTAATTTGCTTTGATGTTACATGAATGCTGTTGTGTGAATTCGGGCATTCAAGTTTGGGTCTTTTTGAGGATCAGTCTGGAAGCAAACCATACTTTACATTCTTTAAATTTCATAAGTCAAGCCATGAGTTCTGATGGATTGAACTTTGCTGTGTACGATAAAAATAGATCACCAAACAGAAATAACGTAGTGTCAGTTGAGTTAAAACTGCAGTATATTTTGGAGAACAATCTAAATTTCTTATGCAAAGATTAACACAACAATAAATTAAAACGGCTAGGTAGTAGGTTCTATACAAGAAACATCAATAAACAACAATTTGAATCATAGATTTTCAGTTTAACAAATTGCAGATTTGTTGTATACATTTTCAGCTGTAGCAACTTAGCAACACATACTTTAAATTAAGGTCCTGTTTATGGGATTATATTGGTTAGAAAGGAGTTTGGTGGAATGATCTAGTGTGCAAATTGGGGATGGTGATGGTAGGCTAAAATGCATGTAAAAATGGCCTGGCTGGGATTTGACACTGGATCAAGCAGTCCAGAAAATGGCTTGGTGCCACTACTAGCTCTTGAGATAAGTATATTATATTAAAATATAAACTGTTGGCTCATTTTTTCCTCCTTAACTGTGGGATGGATAGATTTTTTGTTGTTGTTTTAATGTGCACTGAAGTACTGAACCAAATGGTACAGCAAACATTGTTTGGTTTGGATTTGTTTTAGTGCTGTACTTGGTCTGGCCAAATTTTTTACTACCCTAGGTTGCATATTGTACTTATACTAGCAGTATAAGAGCTAGGCAACTATAACATGTAACATAACTTTCTAAATTCCAAACGGTAATTGAATTTGTGGAAATAATCATTTCTTGCACATAATATGCTACATACTAAGCATCAATTAACAGCACTCATGAACTTGTTGAGCTTAATCAATTTTTTTTTCTTCTTTTGCCTAATATCTTAATTGTTTGATTTGTACTTGGGCAAAGAAAGTCATGCTTATAGTAAGGGGAAGGCTCTCGTTGTTAGCAAAGTTCCGTTGCCTGATTATCGTGCAGATCTTGATGAGCGTCATGGATCAACACAGAAGGAGGTGGGTTATACCTATCCTATTTCAATGTATGATTACTAATTTCATGTTGCATGTAGATATGTGCTAACTATGTTCAGTTTTCTGCAGATTAGAATGTCCACTGACATTGAGAAGAGAGTAGGAAATCTTTTGAATAGCTCACAGTCAGTGCCCCAGGCAGCAACGTCTAGTTTTCCTTCTGTATCAGCTCATCTAGGACATAAACAATCTGCAACCATGATAAAATCTGTTTCTTCAGAACCGACAGATTCTTCGAAGGAGAAACTTAGTGTTTCACTCAAGGAAAGGCAGGAACTTGTACAGGTATCTAAGCATTGGCCAGTTACTGGGCTGCTGTATGTTCTATTTTAAACTTATATCAGGATTGGATATTATTTATGTGCAGGCAAGTGATAGTTTGAAGGAAATGAAACCATTTAGGGAGAAGCTTCCTGCGTTTAAAATGAAGTCCCAGTTTCTGAAAGCTGTTCAAGAAAATCAGGTGGGCAGATATTTATATCTATCACAACAAAAATGTCTTATTTAGTATTTACCATAGTTTATTATTGACTTGATTCATATTAAGTCTGTAAGAAATATCTGTGGATCTTAATGGAAATGAGAAAGGACAAACTTTATTGCCAGACCTATGGGTGGAAGAATTTGTGAAAAGTGAAAATGATATATGGTCTGTTTGGATTTCTTTTCCTACTTTGCGTATGGATGTTCCTGAATTATCATCAATTGAAATCATTATTGGTTATAGATAACTTTAGTTCTTCAAGAGTAAAATTTGGCTTGTGTTTGCACAGGTATTGGTAATTTCAGGAGAGACAGGTTGTGGTAAAACAACACAGTTGCCACAATTCATTCTGGAAGAAGAAATATCCAGTTTACGTGGAGCTGATTGCAACATAATGTGTACTCAGCCTCGTCGAGTGTCTGCAATTTCTGTTGCAGCTCGAATATCTGCTGAAAGAGGTGAGAGTCTTGGGGAAACAGTTGGGTACCAAATTCGTCTTGAATCAAAACGTTCTGCAGAAACACGCCTTCTTTTCTGCACCACTGGTGTATTACTTCGGCAGTTGGTATTCCTCTCAAACTGAGTCTCCTGTTATTTAGATTCCATTTCCTGTCTAAACTTGTTTAAGTTCATGTCTTTCTTCTATTGCCACTAATTGGCATTTGTCTGAGATTTTGATGTTCCGTATGCTATTTTTGCAAGGTTGAATGTCACTTGTAGTAAATATAAAGCCAGCAATAGTGTAAGCCTCTTAATTTTGTGAGAGTTGATGATACATGTTATAAGGGTCAGAATTTCGTTTCTTGTACATGCTATTCCAAATTAAAGAAATTGAGTTTCAACATAAGGTTTGTTTTTGCTTTTTTAGTCCTAAATGGTCGTGTGAGAAGCTGAGTTAAATATAAATTACAAAGCCAATCTTTCATCTTTGAGCCTTCACCTTGTAGTTTAAGCTTTTGGGACAGTTTCTGCTTGCAGATTGTGGTAGTGATGCTTGTATAGAACATATAATTCATACTGTGAGTAGAGGATAGAATAGTTAGATGATTACAAGATTGGTCTATAACTCAATTTCTATCTTTAATTGGAAATAGAACAAATATAAAGTTAAGAATTTTGCAACCAGTGGCCTTGACTTGTTTTTACTGTATATGTTTTTAAATAGGTGCAAGACCCGTACTTGACAGGTGTTAGTCATTTGCTGGTGGATGAAATTCATGAAAGAGGCATGAATGAAGACTTTTTAATCATAATTTTACGTGACCTTCTTCCACGGCGTCCAGATTTGCGTCTTATTCTGATGAGTGCTACTATTAATGCTGATTTATTCTCTAAATACTTTGCAAATGCCCCAACAATACACATACCGGTATGCATTATTTTATATTTCATGTTATCAATTTATATTTTTTGATTTCAATGCAAATAAAGTATTCATTTATTTTATTTTATTTGGACATATATACCAGGGATTTACTTTCCCTGTGGCAGAGTACTTCCTAGAAGATGTGTTGGAGAAAACTCGATACAGCATCAAGTCAGATTTTGACAATTTTGAGGGGAATTCAAGGAGAAGAAGGAAACAACAGGATTCAAAGAAGGATCCCTTGACTGAAATGTTTGAGGCATGTATATATTTGACCCATCAAGCTATGTATTTACAATCTTCATGATGTATAAGATGCTTTGAAGTATCAACTTCTTTATTTTCTCCATACTTGTGGAATTAAGACTTATAGTTATTTATCAAATGATTTTGTTTCTTGTGTCAAGTAGACTCTTGTATGTTTTAGGGATGTCATATTAATGTCAATTTTGTTCATACCATTCTCCCCCTCCAATACTTTTTCCAATGTTTATGTATTCAATTTGTGGTAGTTATAGAATCAATATGGTTTTAGGGTCAAAAGATTTGCTTTTTTTTTTTTTTTCTAGAATTTTTTTCGGAAGATCATACATATAATGAAAGCTGTTAGATATAGTTTTATCTTATGGGCCTAGGCCCACTACTTTGTATATAAACCTATCTTTTGCTTTGCAATACACAAGGAATATGTTCTCTCCATTCACCATTACTCTCAACATGGTATCTAGAGCCTATCCTTGACTTTCCGGTGGACCCACTGTTCATCGGTACCCAGAAAACGTGTCTCATTCCGTTTTTCGGCTACCCACCTTGTCGTGTCTCTTTTCGGCAATTTTTTTTCCTCCTTTTTAGGGTTTTTCTTCGCTGCCGCCGCCGCCGCCAGCTTTCCGGCCGGCGACCCCCCCCCACCCCGTTTGCCTCCCTCCGGCGAACCCAACGCCACCGGTCGCGCGCCAAACGGAGGTGGCATGCGCCCCCACGCGCCGATTCTGTGCTGGGTGCGGTTTCTCTCTCCTCTCCGTCGGCCGCCGTGCGTGGCGGTGCGTCCGGCGACTTTTCCGGCGACGATCACCGGCGCCGGACTCGCCCCGACATCCTCTACCCCAATCTACTATTTGTTTTGTGATCGGACCTCGTTTGGCACAGATCTCTTACTTCTCGGGCCGTTTTTCTCTCTCCTGTTGCTGTTTCTCTCTCCTGTTACAGCACCTATGGCTTCCTCTTCCGCTGATCGGCCTTAATCCTCTATTTTCACTAATTATGCCAATGTTCCTCTTTCCATTGATAAGTTAGATGGAACCAATTATGATACTTGGGCTTCGGATATCAAGCTTTGGCTTAAGGGACAGGATTATGTTGCTCACCTTACCCAGACAGCTGCTTCCGTTGATGAGAAGGATCGTCCTCGTTGGTTGAAAATTGACGCTCAAATTTGTAGTGTCCTTAAGTCGACCATTCATCCCTCCCTAAAGCAAGTTTTTCGTGCCCATGAGACATGTGTTGATGTATGGGAACAAGCCCGAGTGTTATACACCAATGATACTCAACGTCTCTATGGTGTGTGTCAAAATCTCCAGAATATCATTTCTCCACGACGCCTTGAGGGCTCCATGGCTGAGTATTTGGGCAAAATTCATGGCCTCCTACATGACTTCAATGAACTTTTGCCTCCTGCTGCCACTCCTGCCAAGGAACTAGAGCAACGCCAAACTTTCTTTATGTTGATGGCATTGTATGGGCTTCCTGATGAGTACTCTTCCATTCGTGATCAGATTTTGGGATCTCCGACCGTGCCTACCTTGAACTTGGCTTGGTCCACTCTGTTGCGTGTGCCTTGCAAGTTTTCCCCTGACATACCTTCTTCAGCTCCCACCGGAGACTCCTCTGCTTTGGTTTCTCAACGTGATGATCGTCAGCGGTCTCGCAAACCGGGCAAAGGTCGTCCCAAGTGTGATCACTGTCACAAACTGGGCCACACAATTGATCGTTGCTACGTCTTACATGGTCGTCCCCCTCGCCTTGCTGTTGCTGTTGCCCACACTGCCTCTCCTGTCTCTACTGCAT